TCCATTCACATAGCAACCACTATTATCCCAAGTTTCTAAATGATCACCAGTTTAAAGGTCTATTCAAACCATATCTTGGCGGTTCCTCTGTCGATGAAGACAGTTTCAGTAAAGGAAGTAAAGGCTTAAGTGGCAACCAATTCGTTGCGCAGCATGGTATAGCTGGAGAAGACATAAAACACGGAGATTCCGGTATTTACAAAGGAGAAGGTGCTTTGAAGGGTTTGAAAGGGGAATCTGAGTATTATTTTGATAGCGATGGCGTAAACAAGGAACACAGCGATGGGAAAGAATACTATGGAGGACAGCATTTTGGAAATGAAGGTAAATCAATTTTTTTTATACATATTCAATAAATCGATACACAGTTCTTTTGTCTACTTCCTTTATTTAATTTATGCCAGTCTCCTAGTGTTCCCCTCCCGATATATTTTTCGACTTCTTTTATATTTAATTTTAGATAAACTTTTTCATTTTAATAATAAAATGATATGCATGTACCAGTTTTCTAGATGTTAATTCTAATCCATACACCTTATATATCCATATCCATATATCTAAGCTAATATCTGTATTATATTGAAGATGGATTACATCTTGGAGTCATTCTTCTTCTTATTAAAGTGCCCTCTCCTCAATGGAGGTTGGCTACTACAATTTTAAACTCTTCTCTATCTTCGGCTGTTCTTATTAGCTGTTCAAAATTTAGCCCTGTCCATTGTCGGATGTTTCTGAGCCACGATAGTCTTTTCCTTCCTAGGCCTCTCTTTCCCTCGATTTTTCCTTTCACTATAAGTTGGGCATATTGGTACTTATTATTTCTCAGTATGTGGCCTAGGTATGATGTTTTTTTAACTTTTACTGTGTTAAAAAGTTCTCTTTCCTTGCCTATTCTATGCAGCACTTCTTAGTTTGAGGTATGCGATGTCCATGAAATTTTGAGTATTCTCCGGTAGATCCACATTTCAAAGGCCTTCAATTTATTTACGATTGATGTTTTAAGGGTCCATGTTTCAACTGCATATAGAAGAGTCGACCAGACGTAGCATTTTGATAAACGTAGTCGAATTTCGAGTTTTATTCGAGAATCACAAAGCAGTTTTTTTATTTTCTCGAAAGATTTTCTGGCCTGTTCTATTCTCGATCTTATTTCTAAATCAGAATTTAGGCTGCTATCGATCCAACATCACAGGTACTTAAATTTATTGACCTGTTCTAAAATGTGCCCATTTATTGTGCAAGGTTGAGGTACGTTTTGGTTTTTTCGGATTGACATCACTTTGGTTTTTTTAATGTTTATTTTCATACCAAATTGCTCACAGGTCGAGTTGGTCTTGTCGATGAGTCATTGTAGACCTATCTACAAATGCTTTTTCGAAGTCTATAAAGCATATAAATATATCTTTCTGTTGGTCGTAGCATTTTTGGGCGAGAACTAGTAAACTGAACAGGGCTTCTCTCGTTCCATGCCGGCTCTGAATCCAAACTGATTGTCTCCGATTATTGTTTCGCACTTTCTATAGATACGATTATGAACGATTTTTAGTAGGACTTTTACTGCATGACTCATAAGGCTTATCAGACGGAACTCATTGCAGTGTTGTGGGTTTGGCTTTTTTGGTAGTGGGATGAATATTGACTCCAGCCAATCTTGGGGTATTTTACCTGAATCATAAATGCGATTGAATAAAAGGACAAATATTTCGATATTTTCTTCGCTGATTAATTTGAACGTTTCTGGGTATATTCCGTCTGGACCTGGGCTTTTATTTGTTTTGAGATGATTAATTGCATTTATGATTTTAGATTTCAGAATTGCTGGCCCTTCGTTGTTATTTTCCAATCTTGGTTCTTCTCGTATGTCGTGAAAAAGAATTTTAATATAGTTTTCCCATTCTTTCAGTTTATCTTCCGTTGATTCTAGCAGTTTGCCATTCGTGTTCAGCATGGTGTGAAAAGTCGTTCTCTTGGTAGTCGATGTAAACTCTATTACCTTTTTATGTAAATTTAAAAAATCGTGCCTTTGTTGCAGTTCTTCTATTTCAATGCCTTTTGTTTCCAGCCATTTCTCTTTTGCTTCGGTTATTTTTTTTTCGAATTATTCTATTTAGTCTTTTGTATTCTCCGTCCTTGTCATTTTTTCCTTTAGATTCTCTTCGTTTGTTCATTAATTGTAAAATCTCTTCTGTCATCCATTCCTGTTTGTTATTTCTAGGTGTTACTTTTAGATGTTTTTCCGTTACATTGTTCATTTGTTCTTTAATAGTTTTCCACAAAACGTTTATGTCATCGTACTCGCTAATTCTGTTGTGGTCGATATTTCCTAAATTTTTGTTTAATTCTTTATTTACTGGATGATGTATGGTGTCGTTTTTCAATAATTGGATGTCTAATAGTTGGTGTTGAGGTTTTTGTTTCTTTATTAGTTTCCATCTTGCTCGAACTTTTGCAACAACAGGATTATGATCGGAATTGATGTCAGTTTCAGGTATGTTTTTGCACTGATGATTGCATTGTGATATCTTTTGTTGACCAATATGTAATCTATTTGGTTACGGATTACTCTGTTTTCATTGTGTTGTGGTGAAGTCCAAGTGTACAATCTGCGAGGGTGTAATTTAAACCATGTATTTATCGCTACCATGTTGTGTTGTTGGCAGAATTCGGTCATTCTCTCTCCTCTGTCGTTCCTTGCTCCAAGTCCGAAGTCTCCGATCAATCCAGAAACTTTTCCTCTACCTAACTTAGCATTAAAGTCACCTAAGATAAATGTTAGGTCTCGTTTTTTGGCCATCTTTATAAGTTTTTCTACGTCAGCATACCACGCTTCTAGCTCTTCTATGGGTTTATCGGCCGTAGGGGCATAAGTTTGAATGATGTTAATATTTACTGGCTTTCCGGATAGTTGAATAAGAAGACATCGTTCCGGAAATGGCACAAAGTTTGTGACGGCATTGTTATATTTGTCTTCTAAAATTATTCCAACCCCGTTACGATGAACCGGATCATTATTATCCGAGTAATAGAAAGTTTTGTTCATGGTTTTAACTTTACCTGAACCTGGCCATCTAACTTCACTCAAACCCAATATCTGCAACCCTAAACGTTTCATTTCGTGGCATGCATTTGCTAGTTTTCCTGTTTCGAACAGACTTCTAACGTTCCATGTTGCAATCTTAAAGTTTGTATTTAAAATATTTAGGCTATTCCTCCCAGGGATTTTTCGCACCCCTTGATCATCTAAGATCTGCCGGGGACTAGGGCCAATTCTGTTTGTGCTTTCATTATGGGAAATATATACCAGAGTGGTTTCCCGTTGCCTTCTCTGGTTTGTATTTTAGCCGATCCTCTGGACACAGACGCTATTTGGACGCTTGGAGTCATAATCTTCTAAAATGATTTCTTCAAGTCTTCTTCTTCTTCTTCTTCTTCCTCTTTCTAAGCAATTCTTCCTGTTCATTAATTAATTAATACCTCTATGGAAGGGTCATTCCACCTTTTGCGCGGTCGTCCGATACTTCTTTTGCCGATTGGTGACTTACCACTGACTATTTTGACGACACGGGTCTCCTTCATTCTACTTATGTGCTTATTTCGTTCTTCTTTCCATTTTGTATCCATTCATTTATACACTGTACGTTACATTTTCTTCTCATGTCTTCATTTTATATTCAATCTCCTGTATTTCCTGTCATTATTCTCAGTTCTTTCATCTTTGCCTCTTTCAGTAACATTTGTGATGTGTCTGTATTGGGTCTTGCTGTTGAAGCATATGTCATTAATGGTCTTACACTGGCTTTATAAGTCCTGCCAGTCTATTTACTTTTTGTATTTGATCTCTTACTTCTTTGTCCAGGTCTCCATGGCTGGAGAGTGTTATTCTCAGGTATTTTATATCCATTACTTGTTCAAGACTAATGCCATCAATTTTTATTTTACATCTGGTTGATTCTGACCACTATTGTTTTAGTTAGATTCTTCAAGTCAGACACAGAAATGCTGGTCTATTAGATTCTAGTGGTTTATCAGTAATTTACTTTTTGACAAATATTGAATCTGAGTTATTAGCCCTTTGCTAATTTATTATTTCTTGCAAAATTTTAGTTAAATTTTCACTAAACTTACATTCGGTTTTTAGCTAAATCGGAAGACGAAAAGGCTATTAAACAAGGTCACCGAAAGGGCCATAAAGTAACAGGATTCTCGACCTCTCACCATAATGACGAAACCGGAAAAACAGAAGAATATTACGACGAGGCACATGACGAAGCAGGCAGTGAAGCTTTCGAAGGAAAATCTGGGGGTTTCGGTGAAGCTGGAAACTCGGCTTTCAAAGGAGAACACCACGATGGGGGATTTAAAGGGGAGGAGGTGAAGAAGGGAGTACATTTTGATAAAGGATCTGGTTTGCATGAAGTCAGCAAAGATGAAAAGCATTTTGGAGAGGCTAAGTTTGGAGGAAACGATAAGGCTTTTTCGGAACATAAAGTGCTCGACAATGGAGGGCTGAGTGAATATAGTGGATCTAATAAATATGTAAGACATCATCCAGAATTTTATGTTTAATGTTTTGTGGTAAATATATTTATTATTTATAATTGCGTATTGTTTTTTTAGTAATTCTCATTTTTGTCAATGCTCTCTTTGTTTACTAGGTATACATATAGAATTTACGATTTACTAATTTTTAAATAAAAATAACAGCATAATATCACAATCTTTTATAGATATGATTTTTAGTTCTTGCTAATTAAACTTCTAAATCAGTTAATATTATACAGATACTTCAGAAATTTATATTACATATTTTGTAACAATCAAATAAAATGCCAACAAACTCTTAACGTCCACGAAGGTTCAAATATTTGTTTCATTCTACCAATTTTTCCAAAAAATCAAATTAGATCCATCATTGTCTCTCTCTGCTCAACCAGAAAATGATACTTTATATAAAAGACAATCATTTTAACGCTTACTTTCGAAATAATTTCCACCAAGAGATGTTTGAATCGTCGAGGGTGTTGTTTGGGGTAATTTTGTTGTACTGTAAAGATGTAAGTGGTGGAATGCCAATGGGGCTGGGTGCGTACTCGTCCGGTGGAAAGATGTTGGGGTTCGGTGGGATGGGGGGTATGAAAGGTATGGGCGGTATGGGTGGTATGGGGGGCATGGGTGGCATGGGTGGCATGGGAGGAATGGGTTATGGCGGTAAGTACAATAAAAATTGTCAAGTAATTAGAAAAAAATACTTCTCTGCTTAAAATAAGTGTTTAAGATCGATATTTTTTAATAATTGTCAATGTCTTTTAAAATTTTAGTGGTTTATTTAAATATATATTTAAATATACAGTGGTTTATAATATCAGCTTTGGTTAATACGAAATAAAACTCTATTTTTTTCTATATCTCAATATTTGGTCACGACTTTTGACTTCTTCAGTAGATAACTGCAAACTTATTACAATAATTAGATGGTAACACAGGGTAAATATTTCATTACTTACAACGTAGTTACCGTAAGAAAATTTTAAATTCTTTTAGCATATCTGGATGACATTGTTTCAATAATTTTTTGATTGGGAGTTTTTAGTAATAAAAATACTTTAAACAAATTTTATATATAACTTCTTAACTTCTTCTTTTATCCTGATGCTTCACGTGACTTCAGCTGCACTGCTACACCTATACTGCCCTTAAGGAAAACCACAGCATCTGCAGTACATAATAATAAGTAAATGGACTTTAAAGAATCTGCAAAGTTTAAAAAGGGCGAAAATTGTTACAATAGTGCGGTTAGAACCGATTTTACTTTATATCAATAAATCTGTAAATAAACTATGTTTTAAAAAAAGGAGTAGTAGTTTATCCGAATTTTATGCTTACTATGGCAGATATTGGGGAAATTGCTAAGTAAAACTACAGCATCTACGGATGTTATGTTTTTTCGGTGTATTTTCTTAGCATAATGTTAAAACAAAATACAATTAATCAATAAAATAAGTTTTTGAATAATTTATTAAAACTACATATTTAATAAAAAAAAAACACATTTATTAGACCGGATAAACCCTAACAAACAAAATTTAATACGAAAGAGAAAAAAGTAAATATAGAAAGAAATTATTTTATTAATCCTTATCTTCCTCAAGGTTTTGCAAGAATTGTAAACTATTTGAAGGCATTATGATTTTGAAATTTTTAATAAGGGATTCTTTTTTATTTTTTTATACTCTACATGGAGATGTAAATGCCTGGGGGCTGGGAAGTTTTTTATTTAAAACTCTAATCTACTATTATAAACTAAAATCTTAAAGAAAATTCATTCCAAACACACTATCGGAGTTATTTGTTAACTTGTACTTTGGAGAAAATGATCTCTTGTTGGCAAAAATTTCTCCTTTTTTAGCCAAGTAAGGACGAGGCTCTATTTTTTTAATTTTTGCTTATGACGCGAAATCTTGCCACTTAAAATAAGCTATATACTGCTTTGTTTTGATTGTAACCTTTTTGGAATTTGCATTTCCAACAGCTGTCACAAACTCGTTAAAATGGTAGGTTTTTACTTTTGTTTTTTTTTTAAAGATAGTTTCAACTGATGGTGGAAGCTCATCGGCGGACATAAGGTGTATCCTGGTTCGAAATAATAAATACAAGTATTTTGAGCAGCTATAGCTGTAGCTATAATTTAAAATAAATACAAGAAAATGTAAAGAACCCAAAGGACAAAATGTTCGACATACCTGTAATATAAAAAGAAAGCATTATATGAGCGAATTATTTCTTCTTTTTCCCGTCCAGTAATACCGTCATACCACAGGCATGCAAAAATTCTTTGTTTTTATCCTTTATCCTGGGTACCAAGCTTTCATTGAATGTCGATATTTTTTGGGTTAATATTGCTTCCTTAAACATAGCGACTCTTAGTAATATTGTGACATTTTGTGAGTCAACATAGACTTAAAGGACTTAAAGCATATGCATATGTATCTGGTTCATTTGTATCCAAACGGTATAATTTTCTTGAATCTCTGGCACGTTGAATGTGTTGTTTTCAATTATCATATTCACTACATGCTGGATTACAGTTATCAGAATTATGGTCTTTATTGTGTATTTGGAATGCTTCACACAATTCGCATTCTCCATGGTCCAGATTTGTGAAAGATATGTTTTTATTTTTAAGATGCTTTTGATAAACCATATTCGACCATGGATTAGGAGGGTAGGTTTCTAAATAATCCTTGTGCCTGACCTGTGTGGTTAAATCACTAGACATTTATCCACGATACAGAGTGTGTTTACGCCTGTAATGGAATATACTGTGATAATGGAATAACTTTCTACATACATATTAAGGTTTAGAGTAGATATTTTGCTTTTACAAGCCGCCTTCACACGTCCATCTTTTTTAAAGCAGCTATTAGACGATTGAAACACATTTTTGTCTGTCATTTCGCTATTGAGTATTGCTTAGAATAAACACAGTAACAGGCAGGCTTCGTCAAGTATATACGGAATTTTACCTAAGTAATGTTGTAGTTGCTGGGTTCTTCCTTAGTTCCACGCATGTTTTGTTTTGCCTAAGCGGCCACTATACTACTCGCGAAGTTGATCAAAGTTTAGCGAGCACAAGAGTGTAGACAGGTGCTTCATGCGACTTCGTTTCGCCTCGTTCTACTTCCGTTCTGTGTCGGTTTCTCGCATCGAAGTCAAGAGGCCCGAAATTCGAATACGAAGTGTCACACAGTCACACTAATTACTCGACTTCACGAGTATGTAGAGAGTCACCTCGCCTCGATTAACTTCACTTCGGCACTTCACCCGAAAAACTTCGATCGAGAGTGTAGACGGTGTTCTAGGTTTAGTATTTCTTTCAGACTATATATTTGGGATTGTAAATACTGTACTTTTCTTAAATAATCATGTAAATTTTGTTTAGCAGTAAATGGTTTACTTCAATTAGTACCGACTATAAACATCCTGGATTAACCGATAATAGTATAAAAGGCCTGGTTTCAGGTAAAATTTAAATATATTTCCTGGTAAAATTTGTCAATCTTAATTTCTTAATGTTGATTTAATTTTTTAACCAAATTTTCATAATTTTTGCATATGCGGTGTTTTTCCTAAGGACGGCAGTATACAATATCGATGGCGTATTCTGATAATAATTTACACATCAGTATATCTGCTTCTTGTCTGTGTATATCTGCTCACTCTTTTTTTTCACGTAAATTAAAGTTTTTACTACAATTCACTGTTGATGATGCTGTTTAACCAGTAAATTTTACATATATTTTGGATAGATCTGTTCTTTTTTAATTTCTGTACTTTTTACTTTTTAATATGAGTTTGGATTGTCTTGTTTCTGCTGAAAATAAGCGGACTATATTGACATTAATTCGATATACTTTTAGTTTGGTCTAATAGTTTATTTAAACCCTTGAACTTTTTCCTTTTTAAGTCTATTTTTCTTCTGTATCTGTAGAGTAGTTAGGCGAGTTAAAACCCTCAGCACTTATTCCACAATTATGCAACCATCCAGGGAGCTGTTGTATTTCTAGGAAAGTGGACAAGTTACCAGGGCCACGAGAAAGGTTGGCCAGGACTCCTCAAATGCGTTCTCTTTTATTAACGATAACTTCGGGCATTCACATAGAACATGCTCTACAGTTTCCTCTTCTCCTCTCTCCAGTAAAAAACCAACTGTTAAACGTAGGTTTTTCTTGGTCATTCTCAAGTTATCATTTGAGGCTGATTTTCCTTCCCACTACTTGATGCAGTGCAGAATCGGTAGATCTTCTCGAAGTATATGCATTCTGATTTGGGTGAAGTGGGTTATGAACCAGAACTACCTCACATAGAGCCCTTTTATCGTTTCAAGAGAAACATTTTTAAGTCTATTCTTCTTAGTACGTCTTTCCCAATTCATTTTGTATTTTTTCTATGCTTTTTCATCTACAGCTATGTTCCTCTGCTCTCTTGGGTGCTGCGGAAGAATTGTTGTTGTTTTGTTTGTTTGATACAACGATACAGTTGCGTATGTCTTTAAACATCACAAATGTATAACATTTTAACAATTTGATTTTTAATGGTAAGTAAAATTGGGCCTTACCTTCGCAATTCTTGATTTGATACCTGTTGTCATGCCCCATTGAATGTGAAAAATTGTTTCCAAATACATGTACTTTTAAAATGTTTTATATGTGACTGATTTGGTAAAAGTCTTTTTATGGGTGTCCAATTTTTACTTACGATCATCCATTTTGTTTTTAATACATTTAATTTAAGACAAAGTCTGTAGATGCAACAGTTACTTATTAAAAACTCTGCAGGTGTTATAATATGCTAGTTATGATAGCAGTATTGTACGTGTATTGATATTATTAACGAAATCTCCATTTTTTATTTCTTCTAAGTTTCATGAAGTATAATATTACATTTTCATGAATATAGCTTATTAGTTATTTTATTATATTATAATAAAAATATTACATTCGGTTCCAATTTCTTCCATTTTTAATCATAAACAACTTGTCCTCGCAGCAGCCTGCCTATAAACTTCTAGTTTGTCCAAAAACTGTCCAGTCTTGATAAGGAAGTGGTGAATGATTTTCCACATTAATATCATATTCGATTTTCCTTTTTATTTTAAATATTAAAACTGATATTTTTATGCTTATAAGTGACTGAAATTTCTTTACTTATAAGGACTAGTATGATTGTTAATAATATCTCTTTGGAGATCTCTAATATTCAAGATACTTATATTTATCACCAAAAGTGGCTCACAGAAAAAATATTTGGATCAAATTAGGTCTTTTATAGTAGTTTTTAATCAAAATCATTTCTTAGATGCAGAGGTTACAGTTCTTTCATGACCAACTTAAGATCTTGTAGCCATTGAAAATGTACGGAATGTGATAGGTCAACAATTAATAGGATATGACCGTGGGTTATTAGTTAATTATTTAGTAGAGAACTGATTCACCTGTCATTAAATGCATAGATAGATTGACAGATAAAAAAAACAAAAAGTGTAATTTTTATGACAATTTATTGTAATATATGTAAATATTGAAGATTGAATAATATTATTTGGATAAACAAAAACAGTGTTGACTTTTTACGTAGCAGTTAATATAAAGGCATACTTATTTAGGAAATGGACAGTTCATTATATATTTCTTACTAATCTGCGATTAAAAAATTAAAAATATACTATTTTTTTCATGTAAGTTTTTTTTGGTTTAGGTTTTGAAGGTGGGATAAAACTATTAGGCGGTATGGACGAAAGCAGTAGCAGTTTCGGCGAAGGTAAAAAAGCTTTCGATGACATATTCTTCAAGAAAGGATTTGGTAGCCAAGGAGGACAATTTGGGATGGGTCAATCAGGATTTTCGAAAGGGGATGGATTAATGAAAAACATCAAGGGTGATTTGGGGTTTTACAGCGGAGCCCAAGGCGGAAAAAACATTTTTTCCGACGGCAAAGGGTATTATGGAACTCAACATTTCGGATCTAACGGTAATTTATGTATATATAATGGAATATATTTTTTTATATTGTATTATTGTATTTTAGTCCATTGAAAAGTTACACTAGGGTTGCATTTTTAAGAGTACACAAATTTATTTTTTTAATATGTTGGAAGGAGTAAAAATAAGCTTAAGTTCAAGTTGGCACGCTTGTCCCCCAGCCGCCATCTTGGAAAAAGGGTGCAAAGAGTTTTCACGCTGTATATCGTAAACTAGTAATCCTACAGAATAATTTTTTTAACATTATTTGTAGCAAAGCGCATTTAAATTGTCTACAACTTTATTCCTATTGCTTTTAATTGTAGAGCGAAAAATAAAAAAGTTATAGACAAATATACTTAAAAATTTTTTAAACAATTCTCTTTTGGGACTCAACTTTTCCGGCAATAAAATGGTCAATGTGACAATAAAATAAAAAACAATTAAGGCACAATACAGATTAGTTAAGGCCTGCTTTTCGGCAACCACATAAACTTCCACACTTCCACAGAGTTCGGGGGTGTTGGAATTTTTAAAGTTCTTCAATTTTCAGGATTGCAGTATTTCCTGGTATTAGACACTAAGACTGTGAAAACGAGCTGCAGCTTGTGTTAGCGGAATTGATAATACATAAGTTATATATTTTTTTGGTCACGCTCATGCTGTCAAAGATTTAACGTTATTCCAACCATATAAAACGATCAAAAAACATTGTCTCGGCTTTCTTACTGAAAAATAATGTTTCTCTAGCTAACTTGATAATTTTCTTTAAGATCTTGATAAGTTTAAGTTTGCCAATCTTGTAAGCTAATGATATTTTGTGTATCTTAAAAAAGAATGAAAAAACAGCAAATTCCTTAAGAAACTCTCTATAATATTGCTTAAGTGTCATTTTATCTTAAAATGACTAGGAAAAAAGTTATAAGGCCCAAAAAACATTTGTTCAAAAATTTGTAGTTGTTTTTATAACTTTTTTATTTTCCATTTTACGATAAAAGTAATAGAAATGAAGCTGTAGACAATTTAATTTACTTCACATAATATACAATATAATTTTTTATAGAGTTGCTAGATTACAAGATACAGTGCGAAAGCCCTTTGCATCCATTTTTCCAAGATGGCGACCGAGGGACCAGAGTGGCACCTCACAAACTTGAACTTAAACTTATACTTACCCCCCCCCCCTCAATACAGCAAACTAATAAAATTGCGTCATCTGAGAAATAGACGCTAAGGCCTAGAAAAATCTAACATTTCAATGGACTATTTGTACTTTTGTCATCTCTGCACAACTAAGATTTGCAGTTATGTTAACATTACTTCAGTTTCATCTATTTTTTATTAGGGAATAATGCCGGAGAAGCTAACGCTAAAAAAGGGCATAAAAACGGAAGAACTGTGAAAGGATTCCACACCCAACATGAATCCAACGAAGCAAGTAACACTGAGGAGGTATATGATGAAGAACACGATAAAGCCGACAAAAAAGCAATTAAAAATGCTGAAGGTAAAACATTAATTTTTTAGTAACTTAGTTTGCAAAGGAAATTAATTTAATTATTGCAAAGAGATATACAAACAATTTTTTTCAAATATTTATCAATTTTTAATTCTAGATTTTTTATACATTTACAATATTTATGGACGACACTAGGCAAAAAATGTCTTCATATGCCTTCAAAAATATGCCTTCGATCTTCTTCTTGAAATAAGTTTTTCGTTTAGAAGTGTCGATCAACGTAGCAAATCTTACTTTAACGCCTAAAGTGAGGAACAATTCTATGGACGGCAATCCAAGCCATTCTTGCACAGTGCACCAGGAATTTCTACGGTATCCATATACTTCTTTGGCACGTGATGTTACCTTGCATTTAAGGTGGGAACCAAAATATTTATAGAAACAAACGCAAATATATTTTACTTTACCTCCTTACTCTCTGTTTCAATACATTTAGTGCAAGTATACCGTCTTCATGGGCAGTTTATAATCGAAGAAAATAGGCTTCCAAAAAAATTTTTGAATGTAAGGATACAGGGAAAGAGACCTATTGGGAGACCAAGAAGGCAATTGGAAGATGTTGTGGATAGGGATGCAATAAATGTCGATGACAGTTGATCGTGAAAGAGAATGGAAGGTCCATATAATGGATACTCTCTTAACCATCTCTAAATGAGATTTATCAACTGCTTAATATTTCCAGTACTGACTGTGAATGGAAATTTTGGACACTAAGGCAATTAGAAAGAAGAAAGATATAAAGCCTAGTAGACCCACGGCTTGATGTATTATTGTTTTTCACTCCTTTTTGACACTGGTTTTTATTTTCCAGTTCATTACATGAGAAGACTTATCACATCTTCTTTAACTTCGTTGCTCCATCTTGACCTTGGTCGTTCTCTTTCTGTTTTGCCTGCCAGTGCATTAGATAGTACCATTCTGGAAATTCTAGATGGGATGATTCTCTGTACATGGTCCAACCCTCTAAGTGTTTGTGCAGTAATTATCACTAATATATTGAGTTCTTGATAGAGCTTCGTTGGCTCGTTATTTGTTCTTCTTATTCATTGTCCTTTGAAGTCTCTAGAGACTCTAAAGATTTTGCACAGTACTTTCGCTCCTAAACTAATGACAACTCTTGGTATTTTCTTTTTGTTGTGAGCCATGTTTCAGAAGCATATGTCACTATCGGCCTTATTACGGTCTTTAATATTCTTAGTTTTACTATTAGAGATATATTTTTGCTTCTTAATAACATAATGAAAGCATTTAGGCTCTATTGTAAAGACATTTTCAAGGTACTCAAATCTTTCTTTCAATTTTTTCGAATTTATATTGGGTTCCCTTTACCGTTGCCATTATGTACTACCCCCTAACGAATGGCTTATTTGTCCATTCCATATACTTCGTTTTTGTTTTATTTTTGTACAATGCTTTTGTTGCTGCCCTCATTTAGAGCTCCATGACTGTTTCCATCAGCTCTATTTGGTTTCTAACCAAGATTACCAAATTGTTACTGATATTGTTACTGTTACTGTTATATAAGTACTGATATTTTTTGTTGTAGGTCAGACCTGTTCTAGTGGTGTTTGCTTCCAGTGTAACCTTTTCTAAAATTATGCTAAACATTATAGATGATATGATAGGATAGGATAGAACGAATAGCACGAGATAAGTCACTTAATGGATGAAGAATTATTGGCAGACCAAGAAAAAGATGATGCGATAATTTAAACAATTGAGGAGGCTAATATTGAAGAAGAAACGTGCTTTGAAGCCTTCATACAAGAAAGAAGAAAAAGAAGATTATAGATGATAATGCTGCACTTCTTCTTTAACCTTAAAGCTTTCTGTTATACTATTGTTTATCTTGACTTAAGAAGAAACGTATACGCCACCGAAATGTTCTGCTGGAGAAGAATGTTGCGAATTCTATGGATCGACTATATAACATATATTTCTATTCTGAAATAACTAAACATCAGTAAAAAAATCTCCGGCATTAATATGCTGGACATGTCATGAGGTCAAACATAAACAATACAGACTCATCATTTAAGGGAAAGTAGCAGACTGAAGACCACGAGGACCGAGGATTGATTTCCAACAAGATGAATTGACCAGATCACAGAAAGTTGCAAAAGATTAACGGAAAATTAATTAACCACTTTCTAGAGTATTAAAAATATCATGGACTGATAAAAATAAAAATATAGAAGTGGTGGAGAAGGTTGGTAAAGAAACAGAACTAATCGTTACTACACAAACAAGAAAACTAGAATACCAAGGTCACGTGATAAGAAGACCAAAATATGAAATGAAAGAAGATCTATTGCTAAAGGCAGAATTCTTGGTTAAAGAATCTACGCAATTGCTATCAATGCAGATCAATTAATTTGTTTAAAGGATATTATTATTGTATTTATTTAATTTCTTTATATTTTTAGGTGAATTTGGTAAGAAAGCCGAGGAATCATACAAAGGAGAAAAGGGAGATTCCAAGTTTGAAGCAGAAGAAGGTAAAAAAGAGGGCACGTTCGTAAATAAGTTGGAGGAAGCTAAAGCAAGTGCAGGTAATGGAAAATTTGGTGAAGGCAAATTTGGAACTGGTGGAACACAATTTAACGTTAACAAAGGAGGAGATATCAATGGCAATTCTGGACATCATGCTGCTAATAAAATGTTTAAGACTTTTAAAGTATAATCTGTAAAATATAATAATAAATATTAAGGTAAATGTAATTAATAGAAGATTTTTTAAATAAAATGTGTAATCTACCCTACGGTTTTTTTCTTTAAATTTTTTTATTCTATTTTATTACAAAAATATTTCTGGAATTTTCGAAAATGTTCTCTATTTTTTTAAACAGGTTTTGACGTTTAGGCGTTTTTACACCAAAGAGATGTTTTTTAATTTGAAAATATCTTCTTCTTCTTCTATGTCGCTATATAAATTCTCTTTATCCATTGGCAGATTAATATCTCTATAAAAGGTTGGCAGTCCTTTTTTGCGCAGTCAGCTGATACTTCTTCTAGCATTTTATGATATATCTCTTGCTGTTTTGACCACTCTGGTTCCTTATATTCTACTTACGTTATTATTCCGTCGAGTATCGTGGAATTTTTATAGTCTCGTTTTTTGTTAAGCTTTAATTTACGTATTTCACATTCCATCCTGTATAAGATTTTGATTCGGCGTCTTATTTTTATATATTCAAATGAAAGTTTTTTATAAACATCTCAAAATCGTCGAAAAAGAAACACTTAAATTCCGAAGAAAAAAACGTATTATGAGTGTTTGTTTATACAATCTTAATTGCACCGAATAAATCAATATTTGAGTCTCACAAGTTGATATAAGCACTTATAGTTGTGTTTGAATTGTATCTCAAAACCTTCGATAGGAATAAACAAAATGGAATCATTTTTTTTTTATATTGGAAACTATTTCCGTTTAGCCTAAGAGTCAAGTAAAAGTTTCTGTCTTCATTATGGGAGTAAAAGTATTAGTTTTTTGGGATTTTCTTGTTTAGAAACGTATTATGATTTCTTTAATAATTCCGCCTGCCTGTTTATGGAAGTGGAGATGCAGCAGTGTCCGAAATTCATCAATTTGTTCGCTGGGAAGCAGTTTTTCTTCTATTTAAACGAACCCGCAAAGTCTACAGTCAAAGTATGTATAGCGAAACAAAAAACAAAAAACCACAGCAAATTTTTACTTTTTCATCACGCTTCAGCAGATAATTATTAAGTTGAATATTTTCGTATCCGGTGAATATTTTCGGTCAATACAAAAAAGAAAATAAACCTTATTTTTTTACTTTTATTTTCTTCCATATGTGTAGCTAGTGTAGTGCAGTGCTACAGTGTTTTTTTAATGTGGCATGTCCCCGTAATTTTTTTATGTTTTAATTAGCATTATTTTTTATATCCAACACCAAATTTGTATGTAGAGTAGATAGTAATAAGAGAGATATTTTTTAAATACATATCATGATATGAAAAAGAAAAAGGCAAATTTTAATTAAGGCTTTTAACGCAAAAACCTCGTAAGTGCAAAATTAGCATATTTGGGAAAATGAATCCGGTATTACCATTTTTGCGTAGATTCTTTTATTGATATTTTTAGTTGTGTGCAAAAATATAAAATAGTTTGTATTATATCTCTCATGATTTTTTCTCACAAGAATATGAAGAAAATTTTTAAAAACTCATACAGATGTGAGGTTTTTTAAATCAAATATGATCTCTGACGATCATTAAACTGTTAAAAACTTTACTACTACCATACAAGTCTTCGCAGCCACTACTGTTGTCAGTGTTGTCGACCGTGTTATCAAAACCGTCAGGTCCTATGGTCGTCTGGTTTTTTATCAAGTCTTCATAAAATGTTCTGCTGCTGTGGTCATGTAAAAGCAAGAAACTTTTCTAGAGTATCCAGTTTTCTCTTCTAAATTGGTAGTGGTAAAGTATATGAATGTTGCAAGCTTATTTCGTTTTTTATTGGTATTTTTGATGCTAAGTGATGAACGCCATAGACCACGATAGATATCTCTAAGAAGAATGCATCTGTTAGTATTTTATATTTTTAACATTCTCACGTTTTTTATGGTAATATATCATAGATGAGTTTCGCATTAGCGTTTCGTAGATGAAGTTCTTTTTGTATTCTGTAAGAAGCTGCATCGGCCTCACCAATATCCTTGTTGCTTAAGGTATATTCAAATGTGTCACATTCCGCACATGTATCGGTATGGGGAAACCCAAATTTAATATTAAATTTTGTTTTAAATACTTTCCAATACATTTTGTAGGAAACATTAAGGTAGTATTCCTGCAGAAGGGCCTTGTGCATGTTTTTTACTGTAGCTCTGATGGTAGGTACAACTGATTCGGATTTTTTCGCAATGAGTAAGGTGATTACATAGGAGAAAATATATGTATGTGATACGTTATAAGTGTTGTAGCTTTTTTGTAGTACCTTCTACTGCGGCAACTATGTTTTATCCTTTTATCTCTAGATGCACAACATTTTTTTTACTATTTATAAGCATGTGACTTTCTTAAATGAAAGAGAGCTGACTTGTGATGATTTTAGAAGAACATACCAAATTTTATCTGTAGATATAAAACCTATGATATTTTTACGAGAAATAAGTGTTATTGTGCGTGTATATAGGGGTTCAGAAGCAAGAAGCAAAATTTATTATCGAGACAGAACTTATAGCTCCTCAAAAATGTGTTCCAATGATTCTATGGAGCACTATATTTGTATCGTTATTCTCCAAATATGAATAAGTCTGAATTTTCCTATTCAGCGAAGTAATATTATTATTAGAAACTGTAGGTAACTATATATAGAAAAACTCGCATTCTTAACGCAATAGCATTTATTACAAAAACATAATAACAAATAGAATATACCATATACAAGCTCAATCGTCAACAAATTTTATCGGCAGTCATCGTAATCAATCTCTTAAATAACTAAATAATAAATTATTAAATATTAGAAAACAACACAAAATGGCAAAATGTAAACATTCACAATGAAAGATATAATAGAAATTGGTAAGCTTTAAGCTTCCATAAAAAATTTTAAAAGTATTACTCAAAACTTACATTTCTGTACTAGAAGAACATAGCTGTATAATAGAACTCCTTATTTTAGGTCAGAAATTTTCCTCTACATCCTCACAACCTTTTCTGACCATTAAGGTTCATAAAATGGAATAACAAAAGGATGAGCCTTGTACAGTTTACTAGATTCTTGGTGGCCAAGAAGACTTTGTTCATCAGCTCCATTTTTGTACCCGAATATAGCTTCGTTTCCGGCGAATTTGTTTTGGCCGTATTTTCCTTGGTCTCCTTCAACTTTGTCGATGGAATGTTTATTTTCAAAGTGTCCTTCTTTTTTAGCCTCAGCGGAGTTGTATTTTGAATCTTGGTTGCCCCCTAAAAAAAAAAACAAAATATATATATATATATATATATATATATATATATATATATATATATATATATATATATATATATATATATATATATATATATATATATATATATATATATATCGATATATCGATATATTGAAATATCGAAGGATTCCATAATGAATGAAAGGCGAACTAACTTGTTTTAACCAGTAGAATACTAGCAATTTACACGTTTGTAAATTTTGAGGACATGTGACGTGTTTTTGTGCAAATTTTGTATCTCTTGACCCCAAAATTTGAGGCACCGTTTATTTATGTCTTAAGGAAACTTGTAGCCATTTTGTTTTCATGAAATAGGTGAAGAAAAGAAATGATATTATTTTGGGACGGAGACACTACCTACAAAAATCTAAGACTACTGTAGTGAAGAAAGGAAAATCTACTATTGAGAAGAAACTTGGCTAAATTAAGCCCATACTGTGTGAAATGTGTGAAATTTTAAATTTAGAAACCGTCGATAAGCCTTTATTGAAGGGTGATCATCTGCTCATCAGAACATTTACAAAGACAGCACGACGACCGTAATTTACATAAAAAGCTTAAGGAGACTGCTGGAATATACAGAAAACGAAGACCAACTACCATAGTTAATCAGGATAACCAGATAGTGCTGGGTGAAAAGGAGAAAATTGATATATGGGAAAATTATATCCAGGAGCTCTTCCATGACGAAAGACCCATGAGTGAAGTTTATACAGACGACCAGCTGACTGGCCCTTCAATCACCAAAGAGGAGATAGAAAAAGCAATATTAAATTCAAAAAACAATAAGGCACCTGGACCAGATGAGATCCCGTCAGAAATACTCAAATTACTAGATGAAAGGGGAATTTCAGCACTACACAAAATATTTAATTTAATTTATGAAACTGGCTGCTATCCTCAACAGTGGTTACGCTCTACCTTTATTCCCCTGCCCAAGAAAGTCAATGCAAAAAGATGTGAGGATCACAGACTCATTAGCCTGATGAGTCACACTTTAAAGATATTCTTAAAAATACTACATCAAAGATTATACAAAAAATGTGAATGGGACATCAGTGATTCCCAGTTCGGTTTTAGGCAAGGTTTAGGAACACGAGAAGCAATAGTAGCAACACAGGTACTGGTCCAAAATTGTTACGATCAGAGGAAGGATGTGTTCCTATGCTTTTTAGATTACCAAAAAGCGTTTGATCGTGTCCAACACCATAAGTTAATGCAGATTCTCAAGAAAGTTGATATAGACCAAAAAGACATAAGATGCATTGAAAACTTGTACTGGCATCAAACGGCACAGCTAAAAATAGACAATTCTATATCCAAGCCCATACATATAAGAAGAGGCGTTCGACAGGGATGTGTGCTTTCCCCTCTTTTATTTAACATTTATTCGGAAGCCATATTTCAAGAGTCTTTGGAGGATGCAGAGATTAGAATCAAGGTGAATGGAGTATTGATCAACAACATACGATATGCTGATGATGGTGTCTTAATTTGTGACAACATAGTCGATCTTCAACAACTTGTCACTATAATCGGAGAATACAGTGAGCGAATGGGACTAGAGATTAATAACAAAAAGACCAAATTCATGATCATCTCCAGAAACTTGGATGCACTTGAAAACTCCACCATAACACTGAATAGTAAATCCATAGAAAGAGTGAGTAAATTTAAATACCTGGGATCGTGGCTTTTTGAAGACTGGGCATCGGACAGGGAAGTAAAATGTCGCATTGAGCAAGCTCGACAAGCTTTCGTAAAATTCAAGAAGGTACTGACTTTTTCTGAGTTCGATCTTCAACTGAGACTAAGGTTTACTAAGTGCTACGTATGGTCAGTGCTGCTATATGGCGTAGAGGGCTGGACACTCAAAACGAGGGATATAAACAGATTGGAAGCTTTCGAAATGTGGCTTTATCGCCGTATCCTAAAAATACCATGGACAGCGAAAATCACAAATATAGATGTCCTTAAAAGAATAAACCAAGAACGCCAACTTTTCGAAACCATCAAGAAAAGGAAAACGGCGTATCTAGGTCACATCATGCGAAATGAAAAATACCAGTTCCTCCAACTTATAATCGAGGGTAAAATTGAAGGCAAGAGAGGAATGGGACGCAAGAAAATGTCCTGGCTCCGAAACATAAGGCAATGGACAGGGATTAACGACATACAATCTCTGATACATATTGCAAGAAATAGAGAATTAATGGAAAATGTGATCGCTAACATCCATTAGTGGATTTGCATCTGAAGAAGAAGAAGATTATCTGGTCTAAAAACACCAGCGATCAAAGATTTTATTAAACCTTCACAAAATGTTGTCGTCATTATGGGCAGTGTATCTTACCATAGTCAACATTTGGAGCCCTCACCAACAACTGCCTGCCAAAAGCTGACATGATGAACTGGCTCTCTCAAAGAAATTTTTCATTTAATGACAATATATGTTGTAAGTGAATACGATTAATATAAGAAAGTTATAATATCTCGGCCACGTTATGAGAGGGGATAAATATGTGTTGTTACAAACCATAATGCAGGGAAAAATACAGGGAAAACGAAGTATTGGAAGAAGACGCATTTCCTGGCTCAACAATCTGAGAAAGTGATATAATTGCAGTTCCATCGACTTGTTCAGAGCTGCAATCTCAAAAGTGAAAATAGCTGTGATGATTACCAACCTCCTTAGAGGAGACGGTACCTAAAGAATAAGAAGAAGTAGAAAAATTAAATCTTGCAAGGAGACATATCCTAGAATAAACGAGGTATATTGCCGACGAAATGGCTTGCGAATAGAATATAATTGTTTCACCTTTGATATACAACCTGTTGTTCGTAGAGTTACTGATTCCGCTTGTATCCCATAGAGAACGTTGTAACAATTTGGACAAAGTTAGAATCAAAACTTGAGCACTTTTGGAATAGACTCCTTATATACAAAGTCAAGCGTGATATTTACCTTTAAACTCTGATGCTCCTTTTTCTCCAAAACTGCCACTTTGTCCATTGAAAGCATAATTACCACCTTCATCATGGGCTTCATCGTAATACTCTTCCGATTTTCCCGATTCGTCCTTGTGATGTGAGTTCTTAAAACTTTTGATTTTATGACCTTTTTTATGACCTTGTTTAGCTGTTTTTTCTTCGCCACTTTTACCTACAAAATATGTACAAAATATTTCTTGCTTACAACCACTTTTAAATATTACCTTCTTTATTGTAATGTTGTCCTCCTTGATATTCTTTTCCATCTTCATACACTTTTTTCTCGCCATCAACATTAGTATAATATCCAGAGTCTCCTTTAACATCTTTAGCTGCTACTTCTCCTTTCACATACCCTGATTTTCCATGATTGGCTTCCTCGCCTTGTTTACCTTCACTCTTTTCATATTTCTCGTCATTTGCGCTCTTTTTTCCACCACTAAATTCTTCTTTCGCTAGGTGCTGACCTCCGATGTGGTGGGGAATGTGGTGGTGAAGACCAAGACCTCCTTGCAAACCACCTTGTAATCCATTCTGTAATCCTCCTTGTAGTCCACTTTGTAATCCACCTTGTAATCCACTTTGCAATCCTCCTTGTAATCCTCCCTGGTATCCTCCTTGTAATCCCCGTGAAGACCTCCAAATCCTGTTCCGGCACCTAGAAAGCCAGTTTGAGTGTACTTTGGAACTATTTGCCCCCAAATGCTGCTCCGATTGGGACTATCTGGCTAGCTGCTAACTTTGGACTTAAAAATTCATGTCCACTGAAAAAAATAACTTTAATAAAAATTTAAATATGTTCACATGTGCAAAAAAAAAAGAAAAAAACCAAAGAAGAAATTATTTTGTATAAAGATTTTTATGTGATCTATATATCATTAGTTTAGATCCTGTGAGAAAAATTGATTATCTGATAAATTAACTATACTATAAATTTAAATTTACCCGTATCCTGCTGGACCTGCACCAAATCCGGCTCCTCCAAATCCAAAACCACCAACCTCAGGCTCAGAAGGGTAATAACCTCCTTCCACTACGTGATAGCCTCTTACAGGCACCGTGGAAGCAGCTGTCTTCATTACATCCTCTGTTTCATACCTAATTAGAGACAATTGATAAATATACAGCTAGAGCATGATTTTATTTGCTAAAGTGGGTGTATTTATTAAATGATCTAAATGTGAGTAGAAAGTTGGTACAGAGTAGACATTGGTAAGGTATTAGAAATTCGAGAAAAAGTTTTTGGTGTAAAAATAATACTTTCACCCAGTGAAATCCATCGAGAATATGTATAGGTACTCGTATACAATATGTTAAGTTTATATGATTTATTAATTTGTTTCAACTAAATAATAGTGGTAGTAATATTTATGCCCCAAAAGTTTTATTAGAAAAAATTCAGATGCTTAGTACAAAATCACACTACTCTCCAAGTATGTTCAGAAACGTTGTTGTAATTCAAAAACAATCTATTAATTTTAATCTTAAAAAAATAAGGTTTGCACCGAAAAGAACAACACTACGAAAAACTCTCACGCCATGAAGTACAAAAATTCTATTCAGGTGGACCAAACACACAATATCAATTCGAATTAACAAACAGATCACGAGGCGCTGACGACGCGACGGCTACAAATATAACAATACTTAAAGAATATCTGTCTTGAGCAAATCTATATTTTGCTTAAAGAACAATAACTGCCCAAATCAACCCAATTTATATGTTTTTCACATCCAATGTAGAGAAGAAATCACGAATTCAGAATTTAAAAAGAATCTTATACGAGATGGAAGGTCAGATAATAGAACAAGTAATGAACTAATGAAATAATAACTGCAGTGGAATATCGAGCGAATAGAGCAAACAGAGCCGCAGGCTGCCTGAATGAAACAATATGGAGAAATAAAGAAATGAAAGACAGAATTTACAGAACAGTCATCAGACCAATGATGACATACGCGGCAGAAAGAAGACCTGACACAGAGAGGACAAAAAGGATGTTAGAAACAGCAGTGATGAAAACACTTGCGTACACTCAGTGCTGAGTGCCATATTTTCTGTATAGCAAACAACAAAAGGTTCCCCTTTCCTACAAGCCAAATCCACAATATTTCCAACATTCCAACGATAATTGAGGGAATAAAGTCTCGTAACAGGAATTTCATACTTAAAAACATTGTGTGGTGACATTGTGAAAGCTGGCTAGTAAAGGAAAGAGATATCTATAGAATCCAAGCTGGCTAAACAAGATTTAAAAAAGAATTCACATGACATAGACATAATAATGAAGAGACAAGACAAGAATACCGATCAATGAGAAAATAAAAAATGCAACACAAAAGGGAAATATCATAAACAGGATGGATGATAATTTACCAACTAAACAAATGCTTAATTATAAAGCGAAAGAAAGAATATGCCTAATGAGAAGATGGTTAATATCGGAACAAGCAACAAAATACCAAAATCTTCGAATAACTATTGAGATTAGTCAATTTTTGCACTCAAACATGGAGGTGTGTCAAAAATATAAATGTGTCTGTTTTGGAATCAAAATTTAATATTACTTGCATATTAAAATAATTCTGTAAAACATAATTCTTTTTTTGAATATACCGTACAGCTAAACTAAATATACAGAAAGACCTGTATGGACATTAAGAAGGAAGTCATTCGAAATACGTGCGGTTATTTTGGACAAGTTCTTCTTCCGATTTGTTTTGATTTTGTAAATTTGATAAAACTAATAACAATAGTGATATATTAATTTTTTATATCACACCACGTACCTGTATTTATACATCGGCTGTCTAGATATATCCTCGCAGAGGACCAGAGGAAGTAAAAAAAGCGCAGACAACTTTTTGACCATGTTTGATGTGATCACCGAAAGGAAACTAAGAACTAAGGTATAATAGGTCTTAATTAGATATTTATACTTAATGATTTTGTAAAGTAACGCTTCGCTTGAATGGTTCAGCTTGAAGAATGAATGGCTTGGTACAGGGTTAATCATTTGACAAATCACTGGTTTACTTTCTTGTATTTTTTTTATTTGTGGTTAGCAAATGAAGTGTAACCAGATGTATCATAAAAAGATACTTAGAAAAAACTATGTTAAATTCTGATGTTCTTTATCTTCTTGATTAATAAAATTATTTATTAGCTTTGACTCACATCTTTTTGTAAACATTGTTTTTTGTAATTTTTTTATGAGGTAATTTTTGTAATTTCTTATTGACGTGGAAATGTGTAAAAAATCTATATCGTGCTATTACACGAGATAATTTTTTAATATGCAGACTAAACCAATAAATACTTCTTAGATCGCCACAAGACAAAAACAATTACAACTTTCTCTTCTTCTTCTTCTCATTTTAAGACAATATCTGTTTTTTTAGTTGTAGCCATAGTCGTGATTTCGATGTCCAGCGTTTGAGGAGTCTTTCGAAGAATTAAAATCATTCAAGTCAAATACGAATTTAATCGACACTGAATAGAATAGAGGAGAATAGAAATATGCTTTATTGTCACTGAAAATTGTACAAAAAGTAAAAAAAAAATAACAAAAATCAATTAAAATTTACTACCTTACAACCTCACGAATTAGTAAGTTTAAATCGCTGCATGTGATATCCAAATATTGAAGCATTTTAAAATTGCTTGGTATATATTGAAATCCCCTCGTATATGTTAAAATTCAATTCCTCTTTGCGTCGCCGAGTTGATATAAGCCATTTTACAGTTTGTTTATATATTACAGATGTGTATTTCCTCAGTATTCTTTTATCGAAGCCACTTTTAGGATATTTTGCGTTCCGGTTCCTGTTTAAGTGTTTTGTTTATACCAAGTTGGGCGAATGATTTTCGAAGATAATTAGAGGACTCTTGCTGGAGCCATTGCCAGAGGCGGTTGGCTTCAGTATAGGTCCAAATTTTGTGTTTTTCCATTGTTTCGTCCCTTTTAATGGAAAATATGTAGTGTATATTGGCAGTTCAATGTATAAGTACAGTTTAAGTGAGATTTGAATTTTTGGCATTTGAAAGCAGACGTGTTTAGTTTAGTTGGAAAAACCGGTAAATTTGTTAAAAAAAGGTGATTTATACTCAAAGTAATGTGTCAGTTCTGATACGAGTAATCACTGTTTTTTATTTTGAACGATATCCACATGTTCCATTGGTGAGTTTTTAAAGAGACGAGTTCCAAGGTTTGCATCTAGTGTCCCAATTTCAACGTCAATTTCCTTTGTCCTAGGCCGTTTCAGAATACCTTTTCACAGTTTGGAGATGAATTTGTTCGTGTGACAGAGAGTGTAACTCCAAAAATATTAAAGTGAAACTTTACTTAACGAACAAAGTTGTAGATTTACATTGTAAAGGAGATGTTTGTATAATTTTTTGCCGAATATGAATAGATTTCTTTACTAACTCAGTGGACGGGATCTGTAAATACACATCAAATATTGAATTTCTGATTGAGTAGTCATGAGTAGGTCTTGCTGGAAAAACATGTAGGTGTTTACGAATCAAGCAAACAGTTTCTAGAATATACAAAGAGGGAAAATTTAAAATCCCGTGATTTTTGAAGTAGCTTTTGCAATGTGTTATTCTACTGAGATAATAAAAAAGAAAGGTCATATGGAAGATGACCCTTAAACAAATAAAAATATGTTATTTTGGAAGAGGCCAAATTGATTTCCTTCGAAACAGATCTTATTGCATAGCAGGCTTGCTGTCTATAAAAATACCAAGACATTTTACAAAATCAACGATACTGATCTGGCGGTTATTAAGAAACAAGGGTTGAAGAGCTCTTTTATAGGATAATGCTAAGCTCTTATCCACGCTAAAAGAAAGTAAATTAGATTTGGATCAGGTTTTTATTTTAAGCAGACCAGAAGTTATAGTTGCATGAAGAGTTACAATATTAGAGTTCCTCCAGGTAACACTGGTATCATCAGCAAAAAGAAAAAAATTTCCATCGATTTTGAAGTTAGTGATGTCATTTATAAAGAGAAAGAAAAGTAGAGGACCCAATACTGAACATTGTGGTACTTCACATACAATGCTTTTGTGACTCGAATCAGTATCATATGCTCTAACTAGTTGTTTCCTATTCCTCAAGTAAGATTAAAACTAATTCAAAGAAATACCTCGAATTCCGTAGAAATTTAGTTTTTTATCAGTGTCGTGATATACACAATCAAAAGCTTTGGCATAGTCACAAAAAACAGTGGCAGTGTAAAGATTATTGTTTTAGTGCTTGATAGACTTCATGTAGTACAGAAAACATAGTATCATTACCATGGTCTTATAAATAATGAATTCAAGACCTTTTTTAAATTGGGGAGATAGGAAATAGGACTTTATTGTGACAGGGGACTGGGTCTTGTTGTTTGGAGCCAGTTTATCATAAATCTTTTAATATTGCTCCCTTTGCTCTTCAGTAAATACAGATCAACATTTATATCTACATGTATCAGTACAGAGTGCTTTTAAACTTATTTTGGGAATATATATATATATATATATATAATATATATATATATATATATCTGGTTTTATAACGTCTTACGACGTTGTCCGACTCCCAAACGCCACTGTATTCTGTCTTGAGTTAGGTCTTCGTCCAGATTTCGAGCGCTAATCGCTTTCCTAACTCCCAGGTTCCAGCACTGTGGTGGTCTTCCTCGTTTCCTCTTCTCTGGAGGTTGCCACATCATCGTTTTTTTAGGCAATCTTTCGTCCCTCATTCGGCTCACATACCCATACCATATGAGCTGTTTTCTCTCAATATTTTGGGAATTTCTGTTGAATTTAAAATGGTTTTTTATAAGATTGACCAGTTGCATATTTTTCATTTTGGAATCCGATACTACTATCATTGAATCAATAGCACGAATACCTCTTAAAAAAGGTTAATTAATCCATTTTTTATTTATTAAGATTACGAAAATATTGAATCCCTAAACTAATACCGCATCAGTACAGAATTCCAGTATCGATTCATATTACATACTCCAATAAAATTACATCATCTCAATTACTTTCAACCTTCTTATCGACATAGACAAAAGAGCTGTAACATGGAACAACCGTTTTCCTTAAAGTGTCTTTAACCTTCACGGAAATTTGTGAACTTTTGTGTAATGCCGGAAACTTTGAACTATCGGGTTAAAAATCCGGTAGCGTGTGTCCGTAGAGAATTACACGCCGGTTAATAGGTTTTATTGAAGTGAAACTATTGTTTGAATTTCATTATTGCAATGAGGAAATGACATTTTATAATAGGAATTGCACTTTGAAGTTTGTAGAACTAAATCACATGATATAAAGTTGCATAGTTTCCATCCGTTTAAAAATTACCTTTACTTTTATAAAAAAATATTTTATATAAAAAAAATTTCTTCATCTGAAATTTGTAACTTACCAAAGCTTTATAAATGGTATTGTCCCATAACTTGACGATATTTAGAAAAGTTACTTTAATTTAAAGAAATTACAGAAAAAACGTTTCGCATAGAATGGATTAATTGAGGTGTGATATATGAAATCTATAGGTTGTAGATTAATCCATATTAAACGTTTTTAAAAAATAAAAAAAATATGCACTGAAAGTATTCTTTTATTTTAGATCTTATAAATTAACTCTGAATCACTCGCACCATGAGAATTTTTCTCACACTTTCGTTAAATATGCACTTTCTACAAACGGTAAATCATTTGCACCGGTGCCCCCACTTTTAGCTGACTTTTGGAGTGTTTTAAATGAGTAGAGGACGAATGCTTGTAGACTTAGGAAAAATTAGATATGAAGATATTCAAAGAGAAGCGATGATAGCTAACATACCGTAGACCCGTCAAGAACATGGCCAAAATCAAGAAATGATGGAAAATGATGGATGAGTAGACATGTCGAATACTTCGGAAACTTGCTGGTTATTATAATATTAATAATAGAGAAAATCGTGTATTACATAAATATCTATATACGAGACATTTGTATTATAACAGAGAAAAAATTGCGAAGGCATCAACATTTTCTTGCCTGTTCTTTAATTAAACACCAAAATGTAACAAAATAACTCACAATTGTCAGATTTTTAGTTATCGTGTAAAATTGATTCCTGAGGTACACAAAGTTATGATATACCACCGCCATATATGTTCTATTCTACAATTAACTATAATAAATGATTGATAATTTAGTTTGTAAATGCATTCTTATGTGTGACTTTAATGCACCAATCGGAAATGAAATAGTTCCAGAATTAAAACAAAGATTTAATGAAAACCATGTCCATGCAAATGAACTCATGGCTAATCTCTGTGTTTTTAACGAACTGAGAATCAATAGTACATTTTTCGACCATAAGCTCCAGTATAAATATACATTTGAAAACTCCAGGGGGCATAAATCTATGATGGATTTTATAGTCACTAATAGAAAAATTTACCCAAAGCAAATTCTAGATATCCAAACTTTAAACTCAGCAGACGCAGGAAGTGAACACAAACTAGTAGCAGAGATAAGAATGAAAATAATTCATTTTCTAATAATAATTGTTATAATAAGTTAGGGTGTCGCCTAGCTGCCATATTAATTGTTCTCAATTTTAAAATTTAATATTGACATCTGACAGCTAGCTTTATTTTTTTGACATTTGGTAAATATCTAACCATAACAGATCCTGTTTTGCTTTTATATTTTTTAGAAAAAGGTTAACCTCTATGTATAGTTTCATTTTTCATTTGTAATAATTTATTTCTGCTACAAATTATCGTCCAGTATCAATTGTAAGTTCTTGTATCTCCAACTTCTGGAGTTTGTAAAACATCATGGATAAAACATAGTAAGTGTCTTTCTCTTTTATTTTGTATTTATTTTTGCAACTATTAATGTAGT